TGGCATTTTCTCCTTCTCCTTCTCATGATCCAAGTAAACCCAAACAAGTAATGTGGCGATAGACCTGCAGTACTGCTATTCTATCCATGTCATGCAGCCCTGTTTGGCAGTCACTCCTATCTTCATTAGTCAGTGCAGTATTGTCATGAGCTGCTGGCACGTTTTGCCAAATATAAAACCTTAGGTGACCAAGAAGTCAGTGATTCATAAATTGCACAGATTTGCTAAAAGGTGTTGCGTATTATTAGTAGTGAGTTTTGCATGTATAATACACGTCGATGCTAGGCTGCATTTGTAGGGTACAGCAGTGCTAGAGGGATGGATTAGTGGCTGATCATTGAGCTGTAGCTCCAGCTCCGCTCTCTCCTCTCCATCACTGAAGCAATGGGGGGCACAAAATGGCTGCCCGAGCAGCACACCACCAAAGATGGATTTATTAGCCTGCCGTTGGCATGACAACGGTGCCTGTAGATGGGACAGAAAATTGTTACTAAATTGTTACATCTGTTCCATTTTCTCCTTCTAGCTCGGAGCTGCCATGTGTGGTCTGGGTGTTCATTTAACACTGTCTGCCCAAGCAGCACTTACAGCAGCAAATATAGAACGTTTTTGTGATTCTAGATAATACTGAAGATTAATGAAGTTAAAAGTAAATAATATCACCTAAAATATTTCATTGTCATATTGTTTCTATCACATATATTCTAAAGAGAAAAAGCCCACAAAATTATGACTGTTTGGTATGTAACACTGATAGTTAATGGTTAGTTAATGGGTAATATTAATGGGTTAATGGGTTGGTTGATTTTTGTTGCATTGTGGGGAATCTAATTAACGTGACCTGTAACAGCAAAACAGCAAAGGTAAGTGGTTGATTTGGAAGCAACAGTCCGAATAAACCAATCCTGTTATGCTGTGTGTGAATCCTACTGAAGGAATCTTTTGAAGGAATCCATCTATCCACCATTATAATTTTGCTAGAGAGATCCCAGCTGGAATACAGTATCATCTGAGATAAATCATTCAGAAGGCTGGCGAACCACCTTGTTGCCTTTCCAACTCTGGATTATAATTTATTAACATATTTTCTTGGTTTCAGGATTTATTTTCCCAGTTTTGGCAGCACGGCCTCCAAATTTTACACCCATAAAGTGAGATTCACGAGCTGGGTATAGCATTCGAAGCATGTGTTTGTTTTACGAAGCCTTAAACAAACGCGTCAGTTCAGGCTGCGCTGCTGATGACGTCATGTTGCGATTTTGGCCCGGACAGCCTAGGGACCGAGACTGATGGTAAATTAAAGACAGGCTGCTGAGGAGACAGCCGGCAGAATGAAAAAGGCCCATGCGAGGTATGTGGGGAGAGTTTTAAAACTCGGTATTGTTTGTGAGAACACATGGACCTCTTGAGTTTCGGAGTGTGCGCCGTTAGGAATTTGTAAAATGTCTCGTAATGATTTTGATTTATTACTTTGGAAATGTTAATGACATCTGAACGTACATAAACATTTTGTTGACCGAGCTCTTAAAACCCAGAGGGCCAGTTATGCCAGGTACAGTTTAAGCCTTGTCCTGGAGTAAGGAGTATTTTCAATGAGGAATCACTGCTGACAGAGAAGTGTAGTCTTAGATCAGGCCGGAAAACAGGTCTTGAATGTTTTGGTTAACCTGAGGAGAGCTGTAAGTCTCAGGGTATGTTTTACATTAAGGAAATTCTTAAATGCCTTGAAATAATTGATTTATTCATTGCAAATGTTATGGTAATTTTCACGTCCAACCTGCGCACAGTTGTGTAGATATATGACCATGTACTTTTTGTCATGATTAATATAGGAGCTTCATATTTTCCTTTGCTTTTTCCACTGTGAGTTCCATAACCTGGAAAGTGTGCAGGCTTAACATCGTTTCAGCCTTCATGAGCTCCAGGACTGCACTTCAGTAAAGGATGTCGCTGTGCTGTAATGAAATGTTTCCCTGTTAAGCAGCTACTGTCCTGAGCTTGACCTTTTCAACTGGGGGCTTAAGAGGTGGGGGTGTGGGGGGGGGCTACAGGAACAGGCAGTGGGAGAGAGCGAGAGAGGGAGATGATACATGACTGGAGAATTCAATCAATGCAAGGAAGAGGATGTTGTTAAAAGCCAAGCATGAAAAGAAAGTAAGAATAGAGGACGAGAAATTGAAAAAACAATAGGAAGCATAAAGGAGAATTTGGATTGTTCTGAAGTCATCAGCGTTGGTGCTAATTGGTAAGAAGCAAGTATACTGAGCTTGTGTGTGCTCTTATCAGTGTGTTCAGTCTGTCTGTTCATGGTATTAGCTCAGCCTTCTAACATGCAGGTGGCTCTGATACTCACCATGGGACCAATCCTAATCCAGCTGGCAGATTTGCTTTGTTTTAGAACAGAGAAGATACACTAACACTCTGCTTGTGAGAGCCTCTGAGTACTAGATTACATTTAATTAAAGAATCCACATCTAACCACACTCATTCAACTATTGTACTGAATGAATGTGGAGAAATGTGGATTTCGTACTGTTAGTTTATATATAGTCACTAGGGGTAGACAGTGTGACTATATTCATTGTTTATTGTGATAACATCATAATACATCACAATATGCTTTTCCAAGCATCTTTGTATTCATAGTTTTTGATTGTTTTTTAAATGCTTAACGTATTTGAAATGAGTATATATATATATATATATATATATATATATATATATATAATATATATAGATATATATATGATGTGCCATACATTTGCACAGACCACATTTGATGTTTTATTTGTTTTTTTTTTTTCAAAATTATAAAAAGTTATAATCAGCAAATAATTGTGCATTAAATGTGCTGATAGATGCTCTGGATATTATTTATTTTATTTTCACTTCAAAAATGAACAAAATGTCATCTGACCAGGGGTGCTCAAACTTTTTCATCCAACTGTATATCGTGTACTGTGAAAATGTTTTGAGGTATCATGTTTTGCCATATCACCCACTCTTAGTTGTCACTAATTGTTGTGAAAAAATTAGGCATTCAGTCTCATTGAAGCAAAGCACAAAGCTTTTTGAGTGCTTAAAGCGCCCCCTTGTGGAGAATATTCAGCTTGCTAAACATGCATGAGTGAGTTACAAGTCAGGTCTATGAGGTGCTTCACATCTAAAAAAAAATTGTCCATAACATGTTCATATAATGTTTATTAAATATATATATTTTTTAATTTCAGGCAATTTTAAACCAGTTCTGTTTGTCATGAAACATTCACACAGTGTAAATGGCAGTCAGTGTTTTCAAATAAAAGAAAAAAAGAAGGTTTTGATATGACAACTGTGACGTGCTGCTAGTAAATGTCACTACAGACGTCTGTGTTAATAGAAGCCTGAAATGTTTATGAGTGGGTGATAACTTGTGAGTGTTGTAGCCAAATTTGTATTCTTTAGAATTATACTAGTGATTACTCTGCTTATTTTGATATTGCTAAACAAAATATACAGATGATGTGTGGAAGTTACAGCATTGTTTACAGGTTTTTTATGCACTAGAAATTTGACACTGCAGAGAGATAGTGTTTGTATGCCTTGCTCGTGGAGTCTTTAACCTCTCGTTCTTTATTTCACTCTCCCTCCCTCCTCCTTCTCTCTCTCACTCTCTCTGCTTTTCTAACCCCTCCCTTTTGCCATGTCTTTCTCTCTTTGGCTCTCCCTCTCTCTATCTGCCTCTCTCATTCGCTCTTTCCCCCTCTCGCTCTTTCTTTACGCCTGCCAAAGGGAGGTTTAGTTTAGAGCACTGCCAGCATTTTGTGTAATAAACTCCACACTGAGGCTGGCTCATAAACAAATAAACTGAGGCTCTCTTCAAGTTAATTTCATCAAATTCCTCCCTCTCTCCTCCCTCCCAGGCAATTGAAGCCATTCCTCTCAGCAAGGCATTCCTCATCTGTTTAGACTCTCCCTTGGTGCTTTTGCCTCTCTGTGTGTGCAGTATTTGTGTCTACGATTCAACTCCCTGCAATGACATTATCACACTTCCACAGCTCTCTGCAGCAAAGACAGAGACCCTTCAGGTTCTGGCAGAGTAATACATCAGGGGTGCCTTGTTAGCCTTAAGATCTGGATATCATTTATTTATTAATTTGCTTATTGTCTTGTTAGTTATTATACGAATGTTCACTGTCATCAGGTTTATTCCTCACCATTTATGTTAACCAACTGTCCTATCAAAAAGTAACAAATTTTTTCCATTTGTTAAAAATTACAGAATTTTACAGTGCCAGCCAACTGTGTAAACATTTCATGATGAATGGACCAATAAAAATGGTATAAAATTACTTGCAATGAAATCTAGCGATGTGCCAATACCACTTTTCCCCTTCTGATACAGTACCGATGCCTGTTCTTTAAGTATCTGGCAATAAAAGCAGTGTTCATTGCCACAAATGAATGGCAATTACTTGGTGGATGATATGTTTAAACATTTTAGATGCTTAAGAAAACCTTCATTTTTGTTTGTACGTACTGTAGATACTTATTATTAATATATAATTAGTAATAAGATCTATATTTAATAACAAGAAGCATGTTTGAGTATTTAAAATATTTTTTTTATTGAGCAAAATTGTTATATACACAACTGAAAAATATACAGATATATTTCTTCAATATATCTCTCTAATGTTCATGCTGTTGTTATCCTGGATCATTGGAACATTGACTCAGACTATGACTGCTTCATAGCTTCATGTTATTGTATTCTTTATTGCAAATGCTGATACTGCATTTAAGTGCCAGTATCCGCACCAATGCCAATACACTGTGGATATCCTGCAACCATAATGAAATCTTTTACGTTAATGTACATTGAAGTTAAAAACATTTTGGCCTCTCCTATGATGTTACCACTTCAGAGACAACCTTGTTTTTGTTATGACCGTGATAGTAGGCTGGAAACTATTTAATACTAGCAGCTAATATTGGTGTTCTCCACCTTGAATTTACAGGACTGGTCTTCAGAATCTTCACTGAAACAAGAAAAACAGTTATGAAGTCCTAAAGAGGCTCATATAAGGAAGAGGAGATGGAGGACCCATACAAGGACTCAGTCGATATGGCAAACCCTCAGGAGGTCTGCAATAGTACAGTAAGCGGAAGTGATGCTGTTGGTAAGCTTGAGAGTGAGACCACCCCCATAATCGCAAATGAGACATGGAACGTCACTTCTCCCACCATCACAAAGAGGTCTCTCTCGCCTTTGTTGACAATTCAGGCAACTCCTGCAGTGGCTCCGAATACAGAATCTCCTGGAGGCGTTGCTCTAAAAGTGGCAACCACAGTTCTTCAGCCCATCTGCTTGGGGGAGAGTCCAGTTGTGCTGCCTATCCTAGCAGGCACAGCAGCCCCTCAAGTGGGACAGACTGGGACCACCCCGTACCTGATGACTAGCCAGGGTCCCTTGTCCCTTCCCCTAGTTTTAGAACAGCAGGTGTTGCAGCACCTGAACCCTCAGCTGCTCCAGCAGGCTGCCACTTGCCCAGCCCTTTCGCTGCAGAATAACATCTTGTGCCAGAACCCGTCACTTGCTCTTGGACCTCCTCCTGCCCTTGACCAGAAAGGAGCTGGTCCAGTATTGGACACCAGTCTCCTGACCCTTCTCCAGAATCCAAACTTTGCTGCCATCTTGCAGGACCTTTTTCCAGGCCAGGGTAACACCTCGCCCACTTGTCATCCAGCATCGTCCCCACAGGCAGACCCCTTCTCATCTACTTTCCTAACCCCTCCCCCACTTGTACATCCCTATAGCTCTCCACTTGCCCCACTAGTGCCTCCAGCTACACTGCTTGTCCCCTATCCAGTTGTCATTCCCCTTCCAGTGCCTCTTCCAATCCCAATTCCCATCCCGGTACCTGTCTCAACTTGCAAGGATACCAAGGTAGAGACGGAGCCCCCTAAACCAACGTGTTCTGCAAGTAAGAGCACTCAGACATCCACTCAAGACTTCCCTTCTGTGGTGATGCCTAGCAAGGACACAGCAGTCCCTCAACCACCTCTTGGCTCTCCTTCATCCCCAGTGGTGACAGACGGGGAGGTACTGGATTTGTCCCTCAAGGCCTCCCAACCTCAGCAACTGCATAGTGGCAGTTCACTAGAGATCCAGCCATTTCAGCAAGACGGTGCCCTCGATCTGTCTGTACCCAGCGAGAGAAAGACATGCATCCAGTCATGTAGTATCTATGGATCAGCACCACCTGAGCGAGAGAGAACCTCTATCGCTGGAGAGGATGTCAGTAATGGGACTTTGGCTCTTGGGGTCCTGCGGCCAGTAGATTGCACTTCCAAACTAGACTCCAAGCTCCTGAGTGGTTTAGCATCTTTGGAGTTTAGCCGACAGCACAAGTGGGTGGTGGACAATGGTGGCAGTGGTTCAGTTGCCAGTTCGGTCCACGATGCTGCTCTTGGTAGCAGTGGCAACATTGAGATCGTCAGCACTTCGCAGACAGCCAAGGTCATTGTGTCAGTGAAGGATGCCATGCCTGCCATTTTCTGTGGCAAACTCAAAGGTCTGTCAGGCGTCTCCACAAAGAACTTCTCTATCAAATGTGACGCCAGCCAAGGGGGCTACGCTGCCCTGCCCAGGACCCAAGGGGAGCAGCGGGGAGATCCCAATGACCCACTTAAAAAGATCCCTAAAAATAGAGCCATCAAATTGAAGAAAGTCAGCTCCCAAGAGATACACATTCTGCCCATAAAGAAGCAGCGGCTAGCTGCCTTTCTGCCCAGGAAATAACACAGACTCTGGTGTGGATAGTGTGAAAGAGGGGAGTGCCTGAGCGGTGGAGACAGAAAGAAAGAAATACAGTGCATGCAAAAAGCTTGGAGCAGAGGAAGACAGAAAGAGAGAGAAGGAAAAAAGAGAAGGGAGGGAGCTAGGGTTTGTTGATGCTAAAGGCATTCCTGGCAGAAATGAGACCTAGACGCTCTCCGAACTGTCCAAACGATTTAGGGCAACGCTGGCCGCCTCTGGTCTGCTAGTTGGCATTTGATCCATTCATTATAAAGCAATCAGAGAGATTCTTTAAGTGACTGAGTCAACAGGATATATAACGCTTAGAAAACGAGGAGCTGAAAATGACAGACTGCAACACTACTGTACGAATCAATCGCATTTCCACATTTCATTTCCCTTGAAACTGCTTCTCTGTCTCGGATATGCATTTTGATTTTGGTCACACATCTTCATGAATTATTCATAAGTCTTCTCTAATCTAAATGGCCATTAATATGCATAGGCCCAGTTCTGAGACTTTGCCAGCTGCCAGAAAGAGATCAGTCCTGGATTCCTCATAGAAACACAATGCATAGAATTGGCAAATAGGCGTCTCTGTCTGTTCAGTACATGCCAAATGCTCCTTGTCCATCTTGTCTGTCATCAGTTTGCTGTTGGTTTTTTCACAGAATGTTGCTCTGCGTTTTGTTTTGAAATTCACTTCATGAGAGCAGATCTCTTCATTCATTTTGTGGTAGTGTGTGACCTCTGTGCTTCCCCCCCTTAGCAGGTAATCGCTGTATTAATCAGCAGATCAGCGAAGCGGAGCATCCGCTTTGATGGGGGGTAGGGTTAGTGGTTAGCGCAGCGGGCTAATAATGACTTGGCAAAGCGCAGGCCTCCGTTTCATTAACTTTGATGATCGGCGGAAATGGTTGTCAGTGGCAACAAAGCACAGTTTTCATCCTCCTTCTTTCTTGGGGGGAGGGGAAAGAGAGGAAAACACTTCTCCGCTGCCCACCCAATCTGAATTAAAACAAAATAATCACCGGGGGGCTGTTCAGAAGAACAGGAAAGCTGATTAAACGGTTTATTAATGTTCTTTGTTCGGACCTCAGTTGTCTCTTTTTTTTCTGAACAGCTTAAATTCAGACCTCAACAAATGCTGATATGCATGTCAGGTTCACACCTGGGTTATTTCTCGGTTCTAATTTAGTGGGATACTTATTGTTTGTATTAATAGCCAATTAAGTAAGTTGTTTCACACTGTATTTCGGCTTGTCCCCCGCTCCTCAAACTGTGGGCCAAGCATTCTCGGCCCTCTATTTGGCCCTCCTGGCTCTGTATTTGGAACAGCTTTAGGCTTCTTTCCCACAGATTAGTGGTTGAGAGAGGAAAATTTTATCTCAGATTTTTTTTCTCTCAGATCCCATTCGGTTTTACCCCTCAGGAGCTGATGAATAATACAATTTTAACTGCATATAAATAGCAGTGTATGTTATTACTGTGCATCTGTCTGTGTGATCCTGTAATTAGTGAAGTCCAAATCTCAAGCCACCGTTTTATTTTCTTCAGTACGTGTTTACAAGCTATCATATGTCGTGCTACTTCGTGTTTTTACTGATTAACTCTATTTCTCCGCTTGGAAAATGTGTGTATGTGTGTGTGCTTGTGTGTATGTGTGTTAATGAAGCAACATATGTTTGTCTAAACCTGGCTTTGCTACACACTTCTAAAAATCCACTGTACTGAGTTGCCTTTGGTGGGCTACATTCCTCTCTTTGTTCCCTTAAAGGAATACGCCACTGTTTTCAACCTAACCTTTATCTACCATATCTGAAGCATATAGTCAGTTACCAGATTTACAATAGAAGCCAATGGACAGTTGCTTTAGTTGCTTCTGATATAACTGTTTTTTTTTGTGTTGAAAACACATTGAAACGATTGTCCATGGTAATTGACCATTTTGAAACAGATGCAGAGATTAGCTCAAAAAACTCTGGTGCATTCTTTTCATGTCTGCTTGTTGGTTGTACAATTGAGGCTGATTCTACATCAGAAATACTTTCAGAGGATCTCAGAGAAGATTCCCCACCCCGTGTTCGTTTCTGTAATAATGTATTCACTATTTCAAATGGAAAACTGAATGAGAAGCTAAGTTGACCTACCTACACACTTCAACACTTTTTGTGTGACCTTACTGAGGCTTGATCGGTTCTTTTAAAAATCCTGTTGCTGTGCAGATTACAAAAGGAAATAATAATTAAAAGAAACAAAGGAAAATTTGCCCATAACAAAATAAAGGAATACAAGAAAGAACGCCTGTAAAACAGGGTCACTGAAGTGTTTTCAATTACAGTGCTGTCTCGATGGGGTGGGCATACACAACACTCATTTAAACTAGGCCACAGAGATGCCCCGAGAGTAGAAACTGTACCAAGATATGACGTCAGTAAGCCAACGTTCACGTCCACTAAACCACTTTTCTCAGATTTGACTACCTTTAATTCAACATCAAAATAAACAGGTCTCGTCATGTAAAGCTGGGAGGTCAGCATCAGTATCATGTGCTTGAATGCCATATATAGCCTCTATTAGCACATCAGTTCTGAGATAATAAACTTACAGTCTGCATTATGATGAACAAGATGTTATTTGGAATAAAAACACCAACAGAGTGTCAATCAGAATGTCATCAAGCAACTAAGTAGTAATTGTCTGATTCCTCATGCCAGACGTGGCCCGTATGGATCTTCCGCTTTCAGTGGTTTTCTATGGATTTGCCTTAAGAAGAGACAACAAACTGGCTTTTATGTAGACATTTCTGTACATTTCCTGTTCCGTCTTCTCAGATTATATTTAATAGGTTTTCTTGGGACAATAACGATGAACTTTATCACTTTCAACACAACGTGCTAAATCAGTTTGATGATCAGTGTAATCCTCTCCGATATTCCACTGTGTTTATTGCACACGTTAACAATACTTAGCTGTAGAGCCTTAATGTATTAACTGGCATGTTTAACATACGTTCTTATTCCTGTTGTTTTCTGGGAGAAACATGCAACGACTGCATGAGTGCCGAATAGTTTTAGAGAGGGGGAAAAAAAAAAGAGACACATGACTGTTGATACGATATTGATGTGAACCAGTTCCTGTTGATCCTATTTGAAGATTGTATATGAGGATTTTGTAGGTATTAATATTTAAGTACTCTGTGCGAGTTTTTCTACCATAAATGACTTTTGTAAATGAAGAAGTAAATGTGGAAAATGACTGATGAAAAAACAAAAGAGCTGGCCATGTTTTTAAATTATTTATTTATTCTTATTTGTATCATTTAAAATGTGGAAAAAAATGTGTATGTGAAGGGTGCATTACCTTTTAAAAATGCAATGATTAAAAATGTCTATTAACATCTGAACGAGTGTTTTGAACTTCCTTTTTTTTCCATGTTCTACACAATGGGTATTCTGAAAGAGCATAGCAAGTATTAACTATGGCACAAGTATTTACAGAAAAGGAAATGAAAAAAAAAGAGAAAACACAAAAACAGAGCCTAAAAAGTGAAAACTGCCAAGTTTAAGCAGAAATGCTACGTTACAAAAGTCTAGTTCAAACAAAGTCTACTAAACCTGAGAAATCTCAAAAGTAAAGCAAGGCAATTTCAATGTAGTCATTCAGAATGGACATATTTTTATAAGCGCAGTATAAAGTATTGGAAGGCAGTACAAGATAGACTTCTGACAACACCGCCCCCCCGCCCCAATCCCACCCCACCCCATCCCATCCCAAAGCAAACCTTCACATTTTCTACTTTCATATACAATAGGTTTAGTTTAAAATATTTCTTTTCTACAAAAAAATGTACATTCCTGTTGCTGCGTTTTATGGTGAAACCCATAATACACTGATGAACTCTGTCCCATCTATGAAGACAATGACGATTCTTATGTGACTTAAAGCCAAAGCTGGAGGAGTCTGAGCAGCGGATTGTTTCTCGCTGGTGTTCACGATACCACATCTCCATCTCCATGACGCTCTATGACACCTCTATATATATATATATATATATATATATATATGTATGAACCCATCCCTTTGAAATGTGGCATGACGAAGCAGTTCTCATTGTTCAAGGGTTGAAAATAACTGCAGGATTTGAACCTGCAGAATGGACTGTATCAAAACAACACTCAAGCAGCATCGCAATTATACTGCCAAAAAAAAACAAAAAAAAAGCACTGTCTACACACAGAATAAGAATATACATTATGAAAGATATCCATGCAAATCCTTGACCATAGCAAGATTTCACCATAACAAATGACACTGACTATTTCAACAAGAAGTTTCCATTACCAGCAGAGCACAAACTTTCCCAAAGATAAGGACGTTAACCGGAAAAAAAAATGGTAACAAAGCTTCAGAATGCTCTAATAAGCGTTACTGACATTTGACAGCTAAATGGCAACACCATTCATGACACCAAAATAAATAACAAAAGCTTCATCAAGAACGGGGCAAGTAGACGAACATTAGAAACAGTGGTCGTGCCTCATCAGGCATCAAGGAATGAACAAAACTGAGGGAGAATAAAATCAGAAGAGACACTTGTTTCATAGAATTATAATAGAAAATTATAACCACTTTCCCTACAGGGGCTTTAGAGCTTTCTGTAGATGAACACTGTGACCAACACGAGCTGTTCTTCTGTCTGTGACTTTCAATCTGAATGTATTTATTTATATACACATTAAGGAGTCTCAGAATTCAGATGGTCCTGAAAACTACACCAGTTTGTTGTTTTGGTTAAATATTGTTTACGCCTGCAACTTCATTGTCCCAGTCAATCATTCAATTATGTATTTACTATCAAAATACATTTACATTTGATTTACGTAACTTCACTATTTGGTAAGCTGCTTAGCTGCTTTGGGGGCAATGGTGATTAAACGTTTGCCTCATGTAAGAGACCTAAAACTGTATCAATGCACAGCAACTCGATTGTATCCCAAAGAACAATAAAAGAAAAATGAGATGGAAAAAATGAACAGTGCCATTTTGTTTTCATACAAACTCAAAACGCCAGTGAACTCAAATGACTGATTCTGCGTTACAGAGAGGAGGTAGGGAGATGAAAAGCTAAACACGCCAGAACATCACACCTGTTCTCCAATATCGCCCACAGCAGTGATCCCAATAACAGCTAAAAATCTTTGGGAGACAAAAAAAAAACAAATGTTTAATCGATCTTCCTCTTAACTTAGAGCCAAAACAAACACTTGCTTTAAACACTCTCATTTAAAAACACTTTCTGTGAATGGCTAAAGTATGAAAACCTTAGAAAAAGTTTAGGGGAAAGAGAAGGAACAAGAAAAGGAGAGAGAATGGGCTGTATATTGTCACTGCCATAACTAAACCTTATAATTAAAAAGTTGTGACTTTAACAGATAAAGAAACATGTTGGTACAGTATTTAAGCGCCCCAATACTGGCTGAAATTTTTGAATTATATAAATAAATTAAAACAAAAGATTTTGATTTGATAGTGACAATATACTGATACGCATAAGGGAGGGGCATTTGTCCATTTCACCATCACTCCATTCCTTCCTTTAGTTCAGTCTCCGCTCAGCTCTAGTGGTAGGTAGTGTGTGCAGGACATTATTGCTGCCTAGGACCCTTTTCTCTCCTTTTTGCCCTCCATCCTTCTCTCCATAGCTGTGTGGCTCTCTGTACACTGCATTAACGGTCAGTCTGTTGGGTCTGCACGCTTTATCCTCCTGAAGTTTCCTCCTCCTGATGTGCACGTGGAGTCTGTTAGTGCTCAAAAGCCCCCAGTGAGAAGCCCCTCTTTGTCTGGCTGCAGCACTGTTTGGTAGTTTGGATGAAAAGCAGTACACACGCGTGATGTGTTTAGTTCAGTACTGAGTCACTCATCCAGTACTGCAAATCTATTCCAGTACCTCTGATCTGACCCAGCACTGCGTCTTTATCCCAGACCTGTTTACGTATAGAATCCAGCGCTGCATGTATTTAATCCAGTACTACATAATTGAACCCAATACTGTCAGTCTAATCCAGTACTGCAAACCTAATCCAGTACTGTGCAATGTTCGGTACTGCATGTATAATCCAGTACTCTCTATATAATCCAGCACTGACTGTATGTAATCCAGCACTGTAAGTCTTCATTGTTTGCCCTGTTTGAGTCTCTCGATGTGGTAGCAGAGTTTGAGAGCGGGGCCGAGCTTCAGGCCCATGTACTTCATCACCATGTCGCTCCTCAGCAGCATCAGAGCTTTCCCGTCTATCTCCTACACAGAGAGAGAAACACAGCGTTAATCAAAACATCATCACTGAACATTATTGTAAACACACTCAGCGTGGACGGAGGAGTCTCTGAAACAGTTCAGTGACAGCAAAGATCTCAATCGACCAAAAGTCCCATTTTTGTCTAAATGTTGACCAATAATTCCCTTAAAAAGACGATTTCATTCTCTCTTTATAGACATATACTACTGAGAACTTTTGTATTACAACTGTAAGCATGATGGGCTTCAATTTCAACAGCTTGCAAAAGTCATATGCAGAAGTTGGAACATCCCTGGTCAAATTACATGTAAATTATACTTAAATATGGCAACCGGCTGCTAATTTTAGAGCACAATTTTCATTCATTTCCTGAGTTTAACATACTGGGGAAGAAAACATTTGATGTGCCACAACAGGCCACATTTTGTGTTTAATAATTTTTTTCAGTAAGTTAAATTCAGCAAATGAACAGTAATTGTGTATTAAAATGTGCCGAAGTGTGTTCTCTGTAGAGGATGTGTTCACTCATTTACACTTAGAAAATCAACAAAACATGTAATTTCTGGGAGTGTTCAAACTTTTGCATACAACTTTATATTATATCTATGCTGATAAGCTCACTGGACAAAAAACGAGTCACATGCATCATTTCTTTTCTAACACTTGTTTACGCTCCCCTTGCCTTAATAACAGTGGCAGTCCTGTCAGGTAAGGATGACACCAGTCTTTTGAGCTAGAGCTCTGCCTGTTCCAGCATTTCACCTGTTGTTCCACACTGAAAAGTGGGATTGAGGTCTGGTGATTTTGCTGGTCGGTCAAACTGTTTAAGTGTTCCATCATGTCTGTTGAACCAGTCACATACTGACAAATGTCATCCTAGTAGGGGGAATGTCAATGTTCTGTTCTACTCAGAAAAGAGGAATACAGTTCATAAAACAGGGCTAAAATGAACAGGAACTGTCTCAAGAGACGGGTGGAATCCTTACCTGACATCATTATTGCTGTCATTTAGGCAAGGAGACGTGTAACCCAGGATTAAAGAAGAAATTATGCAGGACTAAATTCTTTGAGAGTATAATACAGCAGAAATATCTGCTACATTATCTAACAGTAATTCACTTGAAAAACTTAACAAAAACATTGGTACATAAATAAATAAATGCAATCAGTCAACTGTAGACAAGACCGGTACGACTAATTAATCGACTAGCCCACATAAAGGTGACAGTCTTACAGTGAAGCAACAGCAACAGCGGCTGTTATATCATGAGGCCCAGAGAGATGTGTATGTGTATGTGAGAGAGACTAAGCGCACATGCGTGTGTGTGTGTAAAGGACGCAGGCGTGATGTTGTCCAGAGACGGACACTGTTTTGGTGGAGATGGACGCGAGGCTGCCAGGTGAAGTCTAAACACAGATGACGCATGGTCTCTCTCAATAGGCTCGTCTTTCTTCTCTCTCTCTGCTTCTCTTAACAGCCACACTTTACATTCTGAATTCTTTTCATGCTACATTTATACAGTGTGAGTGAAAAGTTTGGACAAAAATGTATGGTTTTCATAATCTTAAAGACATCCTGATCTAAAGGCTTATTCTTAAACGCTTTAAACTTGTTTCTAAGACAAATATTAATAGTGAAGTTGATGCCTATGTATGGACCTATTTCACAAACAAAAGAGATCATAAGTAAAAATTTCTTTAAATGGCTCTAACAAGTAATTGTCAGCAGTCAACAAAGTCTGAGCAAATGAAGAGCCTCTTCAGTTCTGTTGGAATAGCATCTCAGGTGGCTCTTAATGAAGCTGTATGAGAAAATACTAAAGGGAGGATTGTTTTATGGAACACAAAGATGTAAAATATAATATTGCTGTGATTTATTCAACACTTTTGTGGAAAATAGTAGAAATAGTGAAAAGACTTCTAAGAGTGGATGTGTCCAAGCTGTCAAAAATAATTTACAAATAACTTTATCAGTGATGAACGTGAGGAACAGCTGTTCCGCACCAGGCTGCACAGACACGTTCAAACAGTTTGACTTTGAGGCACTGTAATCATTTTCGCACGTTTATTTTATGTAAACCATTTCTATTTATTGTCAGCCTTTTTGGGTTTTGGTTTTCAGCCAGTGTTTCCAAGAATTTTCATTTCAGTGCACTAATATTGATTAGTCTATGCAACGTTTTTAAAAAGTCACAATGATGAGGGTGATTAAAAGACCTAGATTAATTGATGAATGTTGAAATAAAGAAACTGAGTGATCGAGAGAGACGAGACGAGAAAGAGAGAGAGAAAGAGACAGATAGAGAGACTCACATGTTTTCTGAAGAGCTCTGCATGAGGGGCCAAGGCTGTGGGGTCTGCGTCTCGTACAAACTGCATCACTTCCTCTATAGACCATGAAGAAGGGCTTCTGCTGCTGGTGCTTCTGGGAGTTTCACACTCTGCTGCTGCTGCTGCATCAGGACCTGTAGTGGAGCTCGCTGCTGGAGAGATAGAGAGAGAGAGAGAGAGAGAGAGAGAGAGAGAGAGAAGAGAGAGAGAGAGAATATTCCAGTCTGAGTATAATTGGCACGTACCTGAAAATAGTTCAGAGAGAAATCTGTTTGATTTCTGCTCCATGTCTAATCCGTTCACAGCTTATCTTCAGAACTGAAGCAACACGCGGCTGAAACACACCACCTGCAGCCCGTCTTGGAACACACAGCTCACACACGCGCGCACACGCAGCCTGCGTCTCATAAGCCCAGTGGGGTTGCCTGGATGTCCTGGTTGAATTAGTTATATTCAGATAGGCTCCTCAAGGGGGAGACGGCGAAAGAGCAGCGTTTGATCTGCAGCAAAGCTAATAAGATTATTCTAATGCACTCACTCCTGCCTTGCCTCAACTCCTTTGTCTGTTGGTCTGCCTGTCTGTCTGTCGTGTGGATTACAGCAGGTTAGTGAATCTGAAGCTGTTGCATATTTATGTTCAGAAACATAAATGAATAAAACCAGTCAAGATATGCAGGGTGGGTTTCCCTTTTATGTTAATGCCTGCAGAATTCACTAAATATGTAAGGGAGCGGCAATATCTCTGAGGAGCCCCAGTGTTTCAGTAGAAATATATATATACATATACATACATACGTACGTACATACACACACACACACACACACACATACATACATATATATATATATATATATATATAGTTTGAAAGCGTCTGCTGCCTTTTACATTGTTTGTAAATTTAATGAAGCATGGACCAAAAGAAATGCCCTAAAATGACTTGGAAAAAATTCTGGTTCCAGAGTTACATTAAAAGTAAAGTAGGTTTTTTCCTTCTCCTGCAAAGTTCTCATTTTGGAGATACAAGGTTTTCTTCTGACAACAGCGATAATGACACATATATATGTTTGCACACCATATGACCACACTACACCAGAGCAGTCGAGCTGAATTTGCTTACTCTTCTTGCTGGGGTAGTAAGCGTGCCAAACGAGGACATATGGGTGGAGCTAGAATCAGTGCAGTCTCAAGTTGCAGGATTAAATCATATCTTTGTCATTATACAGGACTTACACAGGTGGAACCACTGCAATAAAATAATTGAGGTTTTAACTTAAAGCTAATTATCAAGCTGCCTCAAATTTTTCAGTTATTTGAACTTCAAGTAATAAGCTGACACAAATTCTTGTTCTGTTCTGTTACTTTCCGAAGTTCCATTAACTCAGTAACTAATTTTATAAATTAAGACCCATTTTTTTTCATTTGTTTTAAAACATTTTAGTGTCCGAAGCCTGAGTGCTCCCCTGAGCTGTGCTTGAACTCTGCTCACCCACTTGCAGAGCAAGTAACTTAACTATTCGACTAAAATGCCAAATACCTACAAAACATAAATGTGCACAGTTCAAAAACTGTGCTATCCTGAACTACTACCTGTAAAACTGCTTTAAACGTGATGACTATTCTCTCTCTCTCAGTGTTGTGTGTTTAATGGATGAAGCATGGCTATTAATGGCTATTGTCACAACAAACCTGCATCACCATAAGGAGCTCTTTAAGGAATTACATCAGAGAACCTCATCTACTCTCTCTGTTGAGTGATGAGAAACAGGGTATGGGTGGTTCTAGCGGTTCTCTGTGGAGTCATAACAGTAGTAACCATACTGCCGTACTGCAGTGCCCAGTGGAAAAATGCCTCATGATGTAGAGCAGGCATGTCAAACTGGGGACTTTCCAGATAGTTTTTATAGATAGTAAAACATAAAATACACCATGCTGCTTTTGTAATTAGATGTTATTTGCCCAAAAAATGAATGCACTCTTTAGAATATTATTACTATTATGGGTTATAATATTCCAAAATAGATGCAACTAAATAATCTGCGGTGAACAGAATGACACATCAAAAGTCATCAATGATTTTTTACAGCCCTGCAGTGGTTTATGGATGCTGGATGAAAAAATAAGTTACCACAGTTGAGTTCAAGTCTGCATGATATTATGCAATATCATCTGGATCCAATGTAAATTCATTGACGAGACTGGGTAGCATCAGAATCTGATGGGTTCCAGACACTATATGAACTTCAACTAGAAGATCAGTGATGTAAAAATGACATGAAAAAAAAAAACAAACCTTCTACTCTTCTGTGGGTGCGTGCAGTGGGGTTGGAGGCATGGCGACGCAGAGGAGGACCGTTGCCGTGGTAATACGGACTGCTAGGCTGGGACTGGTATTCTGATGTGCTTCTTAGGGTCTGTGGACGGGGCGTCATGGAGTTAGAGGCGGAGTCCATGAAGCGCTGCTCCTTCAATAAACCGTTCTCTTCTGGAGGCAGAGTCTCAGCTGCACACACATGATACAAATGCATCAAATGCATGAACTATTTTACTTTAATACACAATGGAGGCTTACAGGTGTGCTCAAATGACTTATTCCAGGTACATCATGGAGAGTCTCTAAGGTGCTCTTTGGTAAAAAGGCTGGATATTCAAATGAAGTGAACCTATTCTACTTCTACTTTGAAAGTGTAGACACAAACAGCTTTGCAACAATCACTCCCATGCTGACCACAACTATTCTATTCTTATTGATTTATTAATTTTCCAGAAAAAGCATTTCTGAATGTTCTGACTGAGATGCACTGTGAAGGGCTTGTGGCATGCAAACTAAAAGCTAATGATCTCAACGCATCATTATCCAATACAAACTCCAGCCAAGTCAAAACTCTGCATCACACTATTATCTGTTTTTCCCACGATATCAAGTCATTGTCTTAATTTACATTCATTAAAATAATCCTAGGAAAATCACAGTAAATCACCGTGAGCTCCAGTTGCAGCTGCTGTTGATATTTTATGTTCCGTGTCAGTAAAGATTCAGTGTGTGCAGTAAGCTTGCCAAAGTTTAACTATGTCAGCTTATTTAAGCCTATTTTCATTTACTGTTGGAAGTTTTGTATCTACTCTAATGTGAAATGGACCATATTTTATACTGTCTTGCATTTTCTTTATTCCTCGAGGACCACTTATCATATTTGTGTCCTTTTATGACCCAAAAACAGTGATTTATCATTTTTTCATGACCATCATCCAGCTCCTATTTACCCTTTAGAATTAAACAGGCTGTTTGTCCCTGTGCTTTAAAGTTCATACATGTAAATTATCTATTCTGATTGGCTGCCCTGGGTTTACTGGGTTTTTCATGCAAAAAAGAACAAACTCCTTATAACCTCAATGTCAATGGGTGGAACTAAACTACTGTAGGCTATTTTTAAAAAGTGAGGAAAATGTAGTTTTTCATGATATGGATCTAAACATTCCAATGTTGAAAATCTGTCACTACAGTTCTAGACATAAGCACCCACACAGCATCCTACCTTCTGAGGGGTGTGTATCTGTACGCAGTAATTTGGGTGAGAGGGGAGCGGAGTATGGCGGAGAGTCTCTGGAGATTCTCTTCACTCCTCTGTTCAGTGCTGGAGCCTCCGACAACTCCTCTTTCACTGCACACACACAAAGACAGACACTGTTTAATCTTCCAGTGCACAACATCTGTTTATGTAGATCAGGGGGTGACCATGTGTGCATGTGTATTTGTCTTGCTGTACTTGAAGGCCAAATGCACTCATACATGAATTCTTCAGGCACGGTAACACATGAGCAGTGAAAGTAGTGATATGTTCAGAAGCCAGTTCCCTGTGGCATCGGGAGAACATTTTAGTGATTTTACCATGAAAATTCTGGTGCATTCTGGGACTAAAATACAGGTGTAATTACTGTGGAATTATTTAGTTCAACTATGCAAATACAAGTCATGTCCAAAAATTGTACTGTTTTCTAGGTATTTTAACTTTTTGACCAAAAGGTCAATGTGAACGAAATCTGGCAGATCTATTATAAACGTAGGTCACTTCGCCCATCTTTGGCAGTGAACCTCACGAGTATACGATGTATGCGCATGCATGTGTAGAGTGTACTGTCGTGCGTCTATGTGCTGCACACACCTGACTTGCTGCGCTCGTAGCTGCTGCAGGGGCTGAAGGGCTGGCTACTGAACAGGTTGTCACACTGCAGGTGCCGACACACCATCTCCAGGAAACGCAGGACGAACGCAGCGCTGGACGCAGACGGCAGCTTCACCATCCGTGTTCCACCATCCGTACGCACTGCCGGGGGGAGGAGACCAAGAAGCAAGAAATCAATTTAACCCAAAGGAGCAAATTTTTGCTGTCTTAATGAAACCTTGTATATTCAAAAAGGTAACTTTACAGGAGAAGTCACTTGTTCTAAAAAAAGAGATCGGGACAGGGTTGAGGACCAGGGGCCGTTTTACAAAAACATCTTAACTCTGGAATCTGTTCTGTTAAGTCACCATGACTGAATTTTGCACAGTAGTTATTACAGAATAACAGTTATGAAGTTCAGAGTCTTATCCAAACTCCATATATCAGAGTAATGGTGAGATGGCTGAAGACATTTCTCTGCACAGCATTAGTGTATATTTTCAGAAATAGGTTTCTGTAGCAAGCTGTTACGTAACAGATTTTACAGACTACACTTTCAAAAACTGCTGAGGAAATATCCCCCATGTGTACAGCATAAATTACGTTAAACGTTAAAGGCTGGGCTGACACTACATGACTTCCAATTTTTAACCCTGATGTGCCCCTTCAGACAAATTTTAACAATCTGAATCGATTTTCTAGGTCGGGAGTTCAGTCAGAAGTGGTCAGCAGCACAGATTATCTGGGAGTGCAAAAGAGGAAATCTTTAGCCTTACAATTTAAGTTCAAAGAGATCGAAGGCCTTCCGTATTTTCAAACTAGAAGAGAAAATGAGGCGAAGAAACATGTATGCACGCTGCATGAGCAGCTGATGGTGGAGATGGAGAAGCCATTTGCTGAACAACATAGCCAAAGAAGAGCCTTAACAATATTTACAATGAAAGGACCCAGGTGTCAAGGCTGTCTTTTTACACTTTCAAGTCAGCTGCCAGTTTGTAGAAAAACGCTTCTCCAGCATTAGGGTTCCTAATGACTTGGTAGTTAGCATGAAAAAATGCTATAAAGGTCATCTCACACAATCTGTGCTCATTACCTCGGACGACCTCTCCGCCTTCGGGCTGGTTCTGCAGGCAGCCCAGCAGCACTTTGGGCTGATAGGCGCAGTCCAGACATGCCTGCACTGTCTGCTGCAGCACCAGGTTCACCGCCTCTGGCCCGAAATGATCCGGCAGTCGCTGCACCTGCTTACGGTCCAGGTGGGGCCCACAGTTCCCGTGTTTATTCACATACACACACACTGAGGGAGAGGGTGGGGGGAAAGAGTGAGAAAGACTGAAAATGAGTAAGAGAGGTAAAGGTTGGAGAAGATAAATGCATGAAATGGCGCCAACATGTTAGCACTAAACAATTTTACGTTTCAAACGCTTAATAAGAAGCTGTAAAAAATGAGGAAATGTCAGATGTGTCCAGAAAGCTGTAGATCAGGGGTTCTCAAATAGGTGGGCCTTCAGGCTTTTCCACCTTGAGGCCCACCTATTTATCACTAGAAAGCATGAAGACCGACAGAAAACTACACTTTTTGCTTAAAAATGTAATTTTTCAGAAATTTTCGACATAGTTGCAGTTTGGATACAATATGTGACACAGGTCAGTAAACATAAGATCAACAGATTAAGCTAACATAATGTTTTATAACAGAAATCAAGCAGAATTGTGGCAATTTAAGTGTAATGTCAACACAATAGTTTACACCAATCACTCGCAAGTGGACAACTGAACTGTCAGTCTTTTGTTTCTAGAGTCAAAGGGCAAAAAATTAATGAAGCTCCTTTGTGTACTATAATTACAGGGCTTGTATTAACATTGTTTACTGTGTGAAAGCACTGTATAATTCTTTTTTATGGTTAAGTCAATTATTTATTATTATTATTTTATTATTATTATTATTATTTATTTACAGATTTTTATTTTTAAAAATTACATCACCAGCCCATTACAGGCCCTCACTCTGTATCGTTTCAAGGACCACCAAGGGGTGGGTCCATGGCCCAGTGGTTGAGAAACCCGGCTGTACGATTCTACAGTGATAAATGTTATACAGCACCAGTAATGAAGTGATAATAAAGTGAATATTTAGAATGACTCATATTTCAAAAATCTTGAGGCCGTTAAGTTAAAACTAAAATTAGGCGAGGGGGGGTAGTGGTCTATAGGGTGCTGCTCTGTGGTCAGTGGGTCAGTGCTGTGAAAGTGTGCAGGTTTTACCAGTGGACACCACGGAGGAGGGGGAGCTCAGCGGGGACATGCCGTCTCTGAGCTGCTGGGTCAGGGGCAGTCTGGAGTCTGACCCTGCTGATGCTGACAGGGGGCTCTGCAGGATCTTGGGCTTCCGCTAAGGCAAAAACAAACACACGCAATTACAAACACACTCAGCCTGAGAATTTGCAAACTGCAGTCTGACAAACCACATAAGAAGACATGGCTATATACTGCATAACACTGCAATGTGCAATATAACAACACACATGGGTGAACGTTTGATTCTCCCACATTACCTGGTTAGAGATAGGATGTGGTTAGCGATTCTAAAGTTCACCGTCATTCTGTCTGAATGCTTGTGGTTTATCAGAACATTCACAGCACACACAGCAAAAGGAGCCAATTTGTTGATGAAAATTTCTCTGACTTGCCAGAAAGCTTTGCTGAGCAGCACTCGTACAACAATGTTACAACTACAGATAAGTCTGGTCCTACAGGTGTACTTCTAAATCTATCGTGTATCTCTGTTTTGTTTTGGTGTGCTTTATGTGATATAATGTTAGATTGCATGTATGTAAGCTGTCTGAATTGTTTCAGGCCAATAACATCAGGCCTTAAGGATGACAGCTAAGAAAAGGCAGTTAACTAACACTTGCACATCTACCTTTATGTTTATTCATGTGTATTATCCCTGACTTTTAATTCTTTCATCAGGATTCAATGAAATGTACTGATATTTTATAGCACTGTGCAATAGTCAAAGATCGCCCTCCACCAACCATTAAGTACAAAGCAAAAAACGATGAAATAATAAAAGATTATATAGACACCCCAACAACTAGATAACATTTAATAACTAACATTTCTGTTTAGTATTTAGTACTTTATTATTTTCGGGAGACCTGCGTTCAGGTTTTTTCAAACAAATCCACAAGGATAATTTTCCACACCTCTAAAATTCAGTCTTAGAAGTTAGTTGAATTTTCTGTTTCTCACAACCCAAGTAATCCCAAACACATTCAATAATGTTGAGGTCTGGACTGGTCAGTCCATTGTTCTGAGAACACCTGCAGCTTCTTTGTTTGATATGCAAATTTTCTTCTTTTTTGTCTATTTCCTTTTCTCAGGAAGGGCTTCTTGACCGCTAAACATCCTTTCATACTCATAGTACTGAGTTGTCTTTTCACAGTGGAAGGATGGACAGAAACTCCTGTGGACCTTTCCAGATCTGAAGCAACAGGGAAACTTGATTTTCTCCTTGATTTTCTCTCTCAATGGCAAATGATTATAGTAACTTAAGTAGTTTCATTTTCCTTTGACTTTCCCCCTTCCTTGTGTAACAGGACTAATCTCCTCAGAAATATCTCCTGAAAAACTTAATTAACGTACTTATTGGTTGTTTTGACTAGAAATTACATAAATGAATGGTGCACATTGCACTTTTGCACATTTATGTGCTGTCTTGATTCTACCGAGCTCTAACTACATATATATACACTGCACAATATAAACACCAGACCACACAGTTGCATGTGCTGATAAAATGCCTTCTACGCCGTAGTCTGGGGTTCAATCCACGCTTGGGCAAGCACCCTACACTATACCAATAAGAGTCCTTGGGCCAGACTCCTAACACTACCTTCGCCTATAAGTGTAAAAAAAAGAATGATCAAATTGCAAATCGCTCTGGATAAGAGCGTCTACCAAATGCAGTAAATGTAAATAAAACAACTCAAATGAGCTATAAACAATACAAAAACCTGAACTTCCCCAAAATATGCCACAAAAGCACAACTGAAATATGTACAAAAACCACTGAGCCTTAACCATAACTGAGTTACTATTACAATTTTTTGTGTTGTAGTTTCCATGTAGGATGGTAAATTATCTCATTTCATGAAAACTAAACCCCACACGCATCTATTCCCACACATACTCTTTACAGTCCACCTCATCCCTCACCTTGCTCCCTGGTTTGGGTCCTCTCTTCTTGTGTGGCCGCGGGGTGAGCGGTGATGTGGGCTCGGCCGTATCCAGCTGAGGTCCGGCTGCGTTCTGGGCGGCGGCAGCAGATGCCGCGAGAGCCTTCAAGAGGGCGATGGTCTCGCTCTTGGGTCGCCGGCCCCTCACCCCCTTCCTTACGGGCAGCGGGGGCAGGGGCGTGGGCAAGCGGTATGAAGACTGCATGGAGCGGCGGGTGGGCTTGGACGGTGAGGAAGAGGAGAAGGAGGAGGAAGGGGCAGGCAGCGGCTTCGGGAGAGTGACTGAGGAGAAAAATAGACAGTAGACTGATCAGAATGTGAACAAGTAAAGTACTATAAGGGTGAGATGTTTTCTGGACATACGTCTGCGAAGTTATGCTACCGCAGGACATCTGTAATGACTAATTCATGCAGGATAAGAGATTTCTGTGTATATAACAGAGATGGCAGCGTATTCATGCAGTCATCACACCAAAAAAATATAATAAATAATAGACTCCACTACTCACACGAGTATGACTGGGTGTTCGAAATGTTTGATAACCCTACCCTGATTTCAACAGCAATTCCTACACAATACTTTTCCCGATACATTCTAGCAAATTTCAATCTGAAAGTGGGTGTGGCTTAAACAAGAAATGAGTGTGAGTTGCTGGAAGTGGGTGTATTTGCTGACTGTAACCGCAGACTAATCAAGAAGCCCTGACATTAATAGAATGCTTGCAGAACATAATTTAGATTTTGAAACCAGCATCCTTGTTGGCTAATGGATAGTAAGGGTGTGTACATACTTAGCAGGTTTGGTTTCATTCAAACGAAACCTGGTGCGTTTGCTCTGTTAGTGCTGCCATTAAAACGCTGGCAGTTTGCTTCAAATATGAACACAAAACAGACCAAAGGCATCTAGACATAAGGAGCTGTTGTTTTTTCTCTACATACAAAAAACAAAGACAAGCAAATATAGTTTCTTTTGTCCATCCTAAAGACATTCAATTTGTTGACTGGCAATCACACGGCATGAAATCTATTAGCAATTCTCAATAGAATCAATCAAAGTGCTGAATTATGATATTGAATTTCAATACCCGGCTCTAATCACAAGCAGGCGTGTCAACATTTCATATGATTTGAAGCGTAAATCTTTGCAACAATTACATTAACATTTGAAATAGGTCATGAATTTTATTTTAGCCAAAGATTAATTTATTAAATATTATTGCCACCAATTATTCTAAGACTGATTCAGTTCAGATGTTCTCCACCTTTAGACTGATTTATCATTATATTCCCTGTCAATATTTACCAGCATGTTAAATAGCATGAAACTAATAAGATCTGCTGTAAATTTGATAGCAGGGAAAGCCGATGTAATCTTTAGACAGCGGCACTGATATGACCGATTGAGACGGGACAAAAGTCAGTGACCACTTTTCATTTGTTAAATTTCCAGCCAAAATGACCAATAAACACAAGTTATTTATTCTTCAGGAGGTAATTCAGAGGAGATTAGATTTAAAATAATCCACTTACATAAGGAAGGAAAAAAAAAGTCAAAATAAGTGAAGGTAGAGAAACTGGGACTCCTAACAACCCAGTAAGACCTAGAAGACGACCAAAACTGTCCCCATCAGATTAACAGCACTTAAGGCTTTAATCTTTGAGAGAGTTGAGAAAATCAAGCTCCACTCTTGTCTCAGATCTGAACACTATGGGTCTGAAAGGATGTGTAGCTGTCAAATAGCCATTACTGAAAAAGGGAAAAGACCAAAAAAAAAAATAAAAAAATCAAAGAAGCTGGTGTTCTCAGAACTACATGCCCAAACCCCAACATTGTTGAATGTGCTTGGGATTACTTGAATCATACGAAAAAGAAAATGCAACCAACTTCCAAGACTGAACTTTGCAGGTGTGGAGATGTGGCCCTGCAGATTTCTTTGAAAAACTGAAAGCAAGAAAAGAACGGAAGCTGCAGTAAAGGTGAAGAGAGGACACAATAATTACTGAAATAAAATTTTATGTTATGTTTAGCTGCTGAGGCTTCTGTGTAACATGTATTCTGCTTTTTTACTGACACAGAAAAAAATAATCTTGTATATAATGGCTGTTTCAACTGGAAATGGAACAAACGTTAAAGACGGTCGCTGACTTTTACACAGTACTATACTGTAATAACGGCTACATTCTAGCACCTCCCTGAAACTAAAGCCGTCCAAACAGCACAGAAGTCACCATCAAGCTTACGTGCAGAAAGGTTTGAGTGAGATTCAAACTGAGTAATGATGACAGTCACATGGTGAGTGAAATGCTCTGGGGTGAAGGACAGCTTTGAGGCTTTTCTGAGACCACATAACTCCTTTTTCCTGTACTGACCACTTCTTTCAGAAGTGAATAACTCAAAACATACACATGCATTCAACACAAATCACACACTCACAAAGGTTACCACATGCTAAACACAATGCAAGTGGCAAATGCACATAAAAGAACAGTCAAAAGTCAAAAGTGTAAAGCAGGCTGCTGCACTCTGTGTGTGCGTATGTGTGTGAGCGAGTGTGACTATATGAAAGAAAGAAAGCGATTCACAGGCAGAGGGAGTGTGTGTGTGTTTACCCTAAATAACTCTCGTATGACAAAATTGGAGGGCAGTGTGAGTGAGGGAGATTAAAAGGAGAGGAAAAAGCCCTGGAACGTTCTGCTAAAGTCCCCTCAGCGCTGTTACAGCAGCATATGGGAATGATCACTGGGGCGCTGCTTCATTTCCCCATGACCCATTACCCTCCAGAGACAGTGTGTGTGCGGTGTGGTGCATCTGTGGCCGGGCCAAGACGGCTGTGTGAGTGTAAAGAAACAAACTCATTGAAAATGGTGAACGCCAGCATAGAGGAAAGGATAATGAAGAGTGAGGAGGAGCGAAAAAGTGAACAAAACAAGAAATGCGCATGCATGCGCACATCCTAATCAATAACATAACGTGAATGATCCATGTGCATCCTGAACAACAACAGCAAATGACAGAACAAATGACCGAGCAGCGCAAGCCTTCATTACAAACTTTATTACCAGCTCTGAGGCCAAACACAGTGGGAGGCCAAAACGCAATGTTTGTGGTGGGCCAAGGGGACAAATCAACAAATAAAGAAGGTAGGTAGGTTTCAAATAGAGTTTTTAGAAAAGTATTTTGTGACACTGCACCAGATTATGTTTCTAAAATACTGCAAAAATACAATTTCAACAGGAAATAAGAATTTAACAGGATACAGACTTCTGTGCATCATTCTGCAGGCAGCATCTTGCCCGTATCAGCAACTCCAGGTCTAAGCTATTTTTCTCTATAGCAAAAACTTTTAAACATCACAGCTGTCCTGAGAAAATTAAAATGCTCTAAACCAGTTTGTCATGTTTACACTTCTCCCCCTTCTAATGTAACTGGATCCTCTGAGTTACTAGGTTGTTTAGCAGTTAAAATATGAATAATGCTACACAGATGTGATATGCAAGCTAAGTTAGACATTTACACATAAATGACGCACATTAAAAAAAGTCTACTATTAAACTTCAACACTATAACATCCCAACTCCAGCTTCTCAAACTGCAGGCTAAACCTGCCAAAGCTATGTGAATACTACATATTTGTGGTTGCCAATGTTATGATGTCGGTTCTATGCACAGCAGTGTTAGCTTGCGTGTAACAATAGTCGGATTTAGGCTACTTAACAAACCCATAATCATAAATAATAATTATAATTATTATAATAATAATGCGAGAACAATAAAAATGTATCAGGGTATGACAGCAGCGATTTTCAAAAACAGCATTCATTTTTCCCTTAGAGAAAACCAGCTTGGATCCAGAGGTTCTTATATAGGCATGACACCGACTACAGAATGACGGCTTGATTTTAGAAGTCTATATAAAAAGTGTTTATTCTCTAAATGGGTGAGGGGTACGTTTTTGAGGCTTTGAGGTTCGAGGTTAGGGGTAACTTTGCATGAGGGCCACACTTCAGGCAGTCCTGCATTGATGCTTCAGCACTGAATGCTAGCAAAAACTGCAAGCCAGCTGCTGCAACCATGCAGTGACACTAGATGATGATGGTATTACGCACAGTGAGAAGAAATAATTGAAACACATGAATTCCACAAAGATACCGATTATGAATTTTTATGGCCGATTCTGATTTTGGTTACACTTTACTGTAGAGCAGTGTTCGTAAGGCTATGTGACACAAACATAAGAGCTTGTCGTGACAACAGACTTAGCCGTACATAAATGTTTATAAATGCTTATTCCAACAGCCATTATTTGCTATAAAGGTTACACTTGACAATTCTGATGAAGTAGCCTTTATGTCAGACGACATCTACTGATATCTACTACTACATTTATAAACGTTTATGTAGGGTTATGTCAGTTGTCAAGACAAACTTATGTAGGTATCGTGTCAGCTTATGAACTGCACCCCACAGTACAGTGTTAGCCCGATTTCTTTGCGGCCGAATTAGCCGATGGCTGATTTTTTGTGGCTATTTTAATGAGCCAACACTGGAGCTCACATTGTGTGGGCTAAGTGAATAAAACACCAAAGCTGCAACATAAACAATATAATTTGCTCTTTATTGGGCCAAACTGGCATTTTAAATTCTAAAACAAGAAATCAGTTACCTTTTTTACATAATACAAGTCAAGTAAAGTGCTACATCAAAAGTAAGAGGTAACTGGCAATTTAGCAAAATGAGTCACACATAATTATGCAACAACATTTTAGTACAACTGTGGCCGCAGCATCCAAATACAGCATGAGTGCACTTGCCTGACTCGCCTATTTACGTCATAAAACTGCAGCACAGAACGGCCAAAATCAAGATAATAAATGGGCCGACTGCCAATTGCTTATTCGGAGGAAAAATCACCCAATACCAATCTTTGCTGATACCAACTGTATACTGCTCAAATTCTGATCTGACCTCATTTATTAGGGTTGCAAAACCACAAATTTTAATGCCACAGTAAGTGAATCTGAGTGAGTGAATCAATATCAACAAAACTCCAGTGCTGAAAACACACACCTGACTAACACTGGCTCACACGATTACAAAACACACACAAGAAAAAAAAACAATAACCATTCAAGAATTCCTTCAGCTACACTTAAACTGAATACGTGTTCAGTTCATTCACGTCCACTTGTGTCTCACTGTATTTTCCAAAATCCACCAACCTGTATGAAGATTTAGCTCTATCACACTTGGCATAACTACATCATGTCATATCACAGAAAAG